GGAGTACACTGTGATTCAATATTAGGAGCCTGGGTTGAGATTTTTAACGATGAAAAATTGACCCCCGACTGCTTAGAAACTTTTAAGAGACCTTTTGGAAGATGAGTCCAGATTGATCTGTGTCTCTAACAGAGCAATGTAAGTAGATGACTAGACGATGCCAACTTGCCAAACAGACATGCTTGTACCGGATCGAGTTGTAATTGGGAGAGGAGGAGGAGGAGACAAGTCTTTTGAGTTTCTGCCTGAAGCAATATTATGTAATTCCTGACCTACAAGTGCTTGAAACTGGCACTGACAATCAGCACTGACCACCTTTGTTTTGATGAGCGCAAACTTGATGAGAAAAAAATATTTTAAGAAAATTCCTCAATTGTGATTTGTAATTAGAGGTGGGAGCAAAACGAGGGAGGAAGGGAGGGAAGGGGCTGACATAAGGGGCCTATTTCCTGTTGGAAGAGTGCAAGGGTTTATTGCATGGAAAAACAAGTCTTGGTCCTTACTCCAACTATTTCCCCTGTGTAATGTGATACACATATTTAAATTTAATTTCACCACTGATGGAAATCAGGCACTTCACAACTCAAGCCCTGGCTTGTGCTGGCAATAAAGATAAGTGGACACATACATAACATCTGGGGGTTTAAAACTTTGTTCTAATTGTATGTCAAATCAACTAGACCCCTGCAGTTTACAACAACCTCTTCCTCTCTCCTACCAAACACCCACCCCCCCCCATCACCCCACTAATGCTTCTCTCCCATTGCGGTGTTAAAATCTGCTTAACGTTGTTTCTTGACATAAGGAACATTTTGAGAAATCAAGTATGCGTGCCTGTTCTCAGTCCCTTGGCTGAAATCCAGGACGAAATGGCTACAGAAATATTATGCATCAAAGTAGAGCGTGTATGTAGATGGATTTGTCTAGCGCTTAATATTAGCAGTGTTAAATCATTAATCGTGGATATGTAACCGTCTGGTGCAGTGCAAACCGTACAGATGAGGAGATTGAGTAGAGACACATGACAACATCACAGGAAGACCTTAAAAGTAAAAAATATTCACCGGCACATTTTACTTTAAAGATTTTGCTTACCAAACCAAGCTGAGTTGAACACGCAATCTGAAATGTGTTGAATGAACCAATACAATAGGGCTCCTGCTGTGTCAAACATTTGTATGGTTCGATGGTAAATGCTAAAAGTGATTTGAAAGGTTTGAGATGATTTTATAAACTATATGAGAAAAGCTTGAATGATTTGTCAACAAAATCTCAAGTCTTCGATGTTCTACATGTTCTGCAATGTAGAGTGTGTTATTCTTTCTAACGTTTGCAAATATAATAGGTCTTCACTGTCTTCTGTTGTCAAGTTGACTATTTTCCTTCTTTGGTGGGTCCTGGGTGGTGACTAGTGGAGAGCGATGGACAGTCAAATTCTGGTCATGTGTCAATTGACTGGCTCAGAATGGCATTTTACCAGACAATCCAACAAGGAGTGATATAGGAGTTGATTTACCAGCTCATACAGTAGAAACACGCAGCTTCTATGTGATTATAAAAATAATAACTTACGGAAGCGGAAAGTAAGAGAAAAGAAAAATATTAGTAAACAACGAGAGGGAAATTGCACTTTTATAGGTTATCCAGCACACTTCACAAAGGGTAATGTCTCGGAGCATGTTAGAGGGACAGGGGGTTGGATGCTGAGCAAGAAAAAATGGGAGACTGAGTTATGGAACTTGACTGAGGAGAACATGAGGAGTGAGCGAGAGACCTTGGATCAGTCGCTGGTTCACTGTGGTCTCTGCTTTTTCCTCTACAGCTCCCGTAAACAAACAATACATTTTAACATAACATAACATGCAGGAGTAGGCCATTCGGCCCTTCGAGCCTCTGCCCCGCCATTCAATCATGGCTGATCTTCTAATCTAACTCCAGCTAATAACCTGACCCTGCCTTATCCCCATATCCCTTAATCCCTTTTGCAATAAGAAATCTATCTATCTATCTATCTATCTATCTATCTATCTATCTATCTATCTATCTATCTATCTATCTATCTATCTATCTATCTATCTATCTATCTATCTATCTATCTATCTATCTATCTATCTATCTATCTATCTATCTATCTATCTATCTATCTATCTATCTATCTATCTATCTATCTATCTATCTCAGTCTTGATTTTTGATTAAAATATAAATAACAGCAAAGTAATGTGATATAATGAGGAGTTGGAAAGCAATAATTCGGGAAAAGCGGTAAGATGTTAAGCACTCCAAGATGCCACCGTACACGAAGGATGCTATATAAATGCAAGTTATTGTGTTCATTATCACCAGTGACAATCAACACATCGCACCCCTTACAACCATTGAAAGACTCGATTTGTAAAATCTGTTTATATTAAGAATGTTGGCAAAGTCCATTATTGTATCTTAAGTGAGCTTCATAAATCATGAATTTTGAATGAGGTTTGGAAACTAATTTTTCTTTCATTTACTCCGACCAGATGGCGATTTGTTTTCTGCAGAGGAAGTGGTTGTCAGTTTATGAATTCACAAAAATACTCGTGAGGGTGGTTTATAGGAATAATTCAACTAGAGACTGGATAAAGTTATGACTCCCACATACAAATGAGTTCCATCCGAATGCCACACACGAGAAAAGTAGAGTCCTCACCAAGTATTGTCCCATTGATTTCGATGCGCAAGAGTTAAGATAGTTGTGGAACGACAGCAGTGCAGGGACCACACATTGTTTAAATACTAGTGGTCTCTTTGAAGGAGAAAGTATTTCGACAGGAAACGTTGCCAAGGAAGTAGAAAATAAACAAAACTGCGTTGGACTCGAGTAAAACACGTTGGGGGTATTTTGTTTAAAAAGATATTTGTAAAAATTGGGACAATCAATCAGGAGTTAGTTGAAGTATTGATATTCTTCCCAACAATCATTAATTATGATCTATTAACGTTTTCGCTTTGGCTGCCAGGACATTGATTTCCTCATTAATTGCACATGTAGGTAACATTTGAGCCACAATACTTGATCTTATTAAGTACAATCATGGAGTCCTGTAGCTCAGTGGTCAGAGCACTCGCTTTGCAAGCGAGAGACCTGAGTTCAATTCCAGGCAGAGGGCGAAACCTTGGGCAAGTTTCCTTACTCCACACAGAGCCTAATAATAATCCCTCCAAAACCATAAACAATAATAAATTGGTTATTTTCAATCTACGACTGTTTGGGGGACATTGCTGTGCGCAATTGGCTCCCGCGTTCGCCCACAAATATAGTCAATTCACTTTACCGTGTGTTCTGTGAAGCGCTTCGGGACGTTCTCCCGAAGTGAAAAGCGCTATATCAAATGCAAGGATTATTACCTGGAATTATATAGAATAATACGACACAGAAATTGACCATTCGGTCGATTTCTGGGCAGGACAAAATGTTGGGCAAGTTTCCTTATTCCACACTCCTCTGTTTACCTAATAGTAAGTAGGAACCCTGTCGTTATTCGATTGGCAGATCATCTTTCCAGGGGTAATAAATCCCTTAAAAACAAAAATATTTGGTACTCAATCCACGACCGTTTGTGGGACACTGCTGTGTGCAATTGGCTGCTGCGTTTCGCCCACAAAATATACAGTCAATTTTCTTTACGGTATATTCTGTGAAGCACTTTGAGACATCTCGAAGGCATGTTGAGGCGCCATATCACATGCAGGGATTATTATTATTATAATTTCCTTCTTCCTCATGTCTTCTTCCAGGGGAATTTTCTTCTGTTTCAAGAGAACCAGGCATTGATTACTGCTTCCCACTGTAGCGGTTCCATTTGCAAAAATATCAATCTAGAGCATTGAGTCGCTTGGTATTATAGATGACCTACTGTGCTATTTTTAGCCGCGTAATTGTGTGTATGTGCATGTGGAGTGCACTGTGTTCATCAGTAAATTCACTGGCATTTGTGGGCAGGCATCTGAATTGCACCTGGTCTCCACTGGTCAGTCTGACACACTTGGATATCCATCAACATGTTTTAGAGTCTCCTATCCAAACCGGTTTCACAAATGCATGGAAGTTTCCCTTTGTATGGAACAGAGGGAGTGCACACACTCTCCCCAGAGCAATGCTTACCTCATCCTGAGAAGTTAGTATTCATCACAGGTTGGTAATTCTCTGAGCGTGCTGCTGTAGTTAACCAACTAAATAATAAATTGGTCACTTAATCCAAGACTATTTGTGGGACGCTGCTGTGCGCAATTGGCTGCCGCGTTTCACCCACAAAATATACACAAGATAGACCAGGATTGCAGAGGTGTTTTAGTAATAATTTTTTCCCAGTTGCTTCTTCTCACATTTCAACTCAACCATTGAAGAAAAAGATCTAATTGATTAGGTTGGTAAAAAAAAATCTCCTCCGTCTGTGCTTTATTCCCATAGCTTTCTTCCATAACGACAAGCAACATTTGGTGAGAAAACAATTGCTGGTGTTTGCTCAAAAGGAACTAATAGATGCTTGACATGTGGAAAATATCTATTTATTTCCCTCTGAGTAGGAAAACATTAATGTACTGTTTGAAGGGATCAGATTTTCAATTGGCCTAACCCATATACTAACCACAAATCCTGAGCCACCGCATCAGATTCAATCCTAGATGGTGTTTCAATGTCAACTTGCCTTTACGATTCTGCATGGTTGAACATTTGTTATAGAAATTGAAATCAAGAATGAAAATGGAATAAACAACTCCAAATACACTGAGACGCAACATGGATGTTATAAGAAAAGAATGATTTACTTTTGACATATATTTGCTAAGTTTAGTCTCTTGAAAACAGAGTACGGTACATAAAATATGTACATCCAAATAACTTTCTATATTTTTACAACTAAAAGTTTAAAAAGTTTTTTTTATATAAAAAGTAACAATTTTGTCAGTAAAAGGACAATAGTTTACTAGTAAGAGATAGTTTACTATACATTGTCTTGTGTTTTCCAATCGAAAAAAAAAGGTCTGATTTACAGGGTCTCTATGTAGAAAGTTTCTATTGTAATAAATATATTTCTATTGTTCATTTACCATTCACTTCTACAAAGGTATCAAAATATAAAAAAGAAAGTCAGCATTGTAAAGCTGCCATGTATTCATGCTTTTCTATCTGAATATAATGTCAGATGACCAATTTATCCATTTCCCTCTCTGCTGGAGTAATTTCTCACATCTACCAAAAGATTTAATATTGTAAAAATATAGCCAGGAGTACATTTAGCATTTCATTGTCATATAACACAAGTGTGTTGCCAAATAAGTCCATCTTTACTTTCAATACACCATATGTTAACACTGGTTCATTAGGTAGTCATGTGGTTCAAGTGCCAATGGATTTGCTTTCCCTTTAATGACATAAAACATTGTAAAGGAAACTATCTCTTAAATATTGTACAGTCAGTTTTGTAACCCTACGAAATGGTCGCTATTTTGGTTTTGCACTTACATATACACTTGTAGCTACACCACTCATGTACATACTCGCCAAAAGCCACCTACTATTCTGAAACGTACCCCTGACCATCCATTAGACTACATAACATTTATGGCAGTGCTCTTTCGGTGTCTGAGGGGGAGCGGTTCCACATATTAATTCCCAGTGTTATAATCCCATCTAGGCATCGGTTGTCATTAGGTGTTTACCAGAGACCCATGCTTCTCCGGGGATACCTGAGTCAATGACGCTTATACATGAGATGTGAAGGAAGGACCTTTGGTTGGATAAATGCTGATCTGAATGTTGTTGTGGGCTCGCTCTGTCATCTGTGAAGTAATCAAGAGTTCCTCATCGGTGAGGCAGGAATGTCGGGTTGAATAGCTCTCTTCCATCCCATTGCCCTTCCTTTGTTGGCAAGGAATAAGAGTCACAGATGGAAACGGATAGGACGCAATGGCCCGATGATGACTGGACAGAACTCCAAGATTATCAGTCGAGTCAAGTGCCATTTCATTGTCTGCAAAGGTCATCAGTGCCAGGGTGGAATCGCACGATTGCTTATCCATGTCTTCTGAAGTGAGGGAATCCATGCTGCCTTCCTTCGATCTGTACCTCTTCTGCCACTTGCACTCACGGAGCATGCGAAGGTCCTCTTTGAAATGTGGGTTGAATAATAGGTACAGCAAAGGGTTCAGGCAAGCGGGCAGGGGGAGAACCACCAGCAGGATGGATTTGATGACTTCTGGACTGATCAGGAATAGGTTGAGCAGGGAGGAAAAGGTAAGGAAGGCCACAGGGCAATACAGGATACAGTTGGTGAAGATCAGCCAAGCAACGTGCTTGATCATGGCACAGTCCCAAATGCTATCAAATTCCCCTTTCATTAGGTCGCAGTAAAGTTTGGTGTAGGTGCCGGTGATGACGAGGAAACAAAGGGTGTTCATCATGATGAGGGCCACCATGAAGCCTAGAGTAGATGGCTTCCCATCAGGGATGGGGGAAGGCAGGCAAAGTGGGGAAGTCCCGAATTCTCCGACCGAGCAGAGCGGGAGTGCTGCCGCGCTGAACGATAGAGCCACGCAGCAAAAAGCGGCGATTTTTACGCTACTGAAAGACGGGGACTTCCCATAAGCTCGGACGCAGGACACAGAAATACTGCACTGCACCGCGGCGAGGGTGAGGAACAGTATGGACGCTTCAGAGGCAAATACGGACATGAAGCCCGTGATTCTGCAGCCCAGGCCCGTCTCCCATTTTGCACCATGCTTTGCAAATTCCGCAAAGGTCAACGCATCCACAATCGCTAAGATGCCGTTGTAAAGTCCTGTCAGCAAGTTGGCAGCGGCTATCAAACCAATCACAAATTTCACCGGCGAGAGATAGGTGGGCGATGCGAATATAGTGGTGATGACCAGTCCATTGCAGACCACAGAGATAAGAACTATGGCCCACACTCCGATACGTATCACCCAGCTTTCAAAGAGATATTCACATGGTTTGAATGGACCTGCAATGACATGTTAAATAACAATTTGCTGTTAAAAAACACTGAATTAAGAGCTCATGTATCCGATTTCCATTTCACAACCTTTGGCTGCTTTCCTGCACCTGAGGTGTCAACGTATTACTATCTTGACAAAGTCAAGCTAAAAGGATTAATTGATATCTGCCGGTTGCACGAGGGTAAAGTTCTACACGTAAAAACATTTTCTTTTCATTTCCTTTTCGGGGGAGGGATTCGGTCGAAGGTCCAGGCAACTCACCGGGGTTGGGGGTGCACTGAATACTGAGGTGCATTTTGGCATCTTCCACATCCAACAAGAAATCATCCATATCCAGGTAATCTGTACATTTTAGCAAAGAAAATAGCATTGGCATCCAACAACAACAAGAACTTGTAAGCGTTGAGTGCTTCACAATGACGGAGTTGGACACTGAGCAAGGGAAAATGGACCAGTGACCATATGTGCAGTTCAAGGGGTAGGTTTTAACGTGGAATATTTAATGATGGACAGAGAAGAGGCAGAGGGACGTTAGCAGGACATCTGGAGATTAATAACAACGATACTAACAATAATAATCCTTGCATTTGATATAGCGCCTTATCATGTCTTCGAGACGTCTCAAAGCGCTTCACAGAATACACTTTAATTAATTTTTTTTAAGGGATTATTACCCCAGGAAAAACAATCCACCAATTGACTAACAACCGGGTTCCATCTCACTGCTGGATAAACAGATATCTCAAAGTGCTTCACAAGACTTTACAGTAAAGTGGAGTATATATTTTGTTGACAAACGCAGCAGCCAATTTGTCTTGCAAACAGTCAAAAAGTAGTGACCAAATTTAGCTGTGTTAACAGAAGAATTAGACCCAGTATGTTTCTTATGCGGTAACATATTAAAAAATATACTTACAGTTACTATCAGCCTGGACTGCAAATAATCCCATGGCTCGTTTTTGAACATCCTCATTATCACTGGCACTATCCTCTGCATCCCACTGGCTGCCCTGCTTGTAAGTAGGTTTGCAAGATCGATATGCACAGCATTGATAGGCATATGGCATCTCTAGGACTCTGCAGACAAGAGGAAATGTTCCTATCTATTAATTACTAATTAGAAGTAGCTGTTCACAGTCAGGATGAACCAAACATAGTGGTACGCAATGTTATTGTGATAAATAATATAAGGTGAAAATTTATTTTGTCATTGTCCATTCCCTTTCTTTCTGTTCTTATAAAACTGGGAATGCTCTTATTGTGCTATGTGAAGCTGTAATAATCCTTGCATTTACTACAGCACCTTTCACGTCAGAAGGATGCCTTCAAGCTGTCCACAGGATTTATAACAGTAATAACAATAATTCCTTCAGTTGGTATAGCGCCTTTCACATAGGGAGGACGTCTCAAAGCACTTCACAGGATATAATAACAATAATAATTTTAATTTGATATAGCTAATGGGATGCTACTACCAGCCAAGTGGTTTTAGCAGCAGCATCGGCCAGCAATAAGTTGTTTTAATATGTCATTGACATTTTTGTTTGGTTTGTTTTTCTATTGGGTACAATAGTAAATGTGCAGTTACAAACCAAAACAGATAGGGTTTGCTCCTAAATGTGCCCCTGGTGGTTGCAAGAAAAATGAATAAAGATTTCTGAAAATATTTATCTTTTTTTAAAATTTATAAAGGATAAAGCGAGAGAAACTATCATCGAGTGTAAAGCAAGGATTTCAGTATTGATATTGCTTCAACCACAAAAAAATGTAATCTACTGAACCGGATTTACAGCCTTTCCCTCAATATATTAATAGTTAACAGTAGCTGAACTCTTAACAGAATCCTACACCCATTCGCAGATTCTTTAGTCAACCTCCTTGTTGATATACCCAATGCTGCCAACTGAGCCAGGCTGACACCAGTTGGACTAAGGGGAAGCTGTTCATCTTATCAACACTGTGTAAATTTCAAGCTTAAAGCTGTATAAGTGCAACCTTCAGAATAAAATGAACGTTCAGATATATCCTTATCCCGTACCTTAGTTTGGGAAAGTTTTCTTCTGAATAGGATTCGGAGAGTCCCAAATTCCCTTTCAGCTTCAGATGAGTCAATCCACTTAGCCCGGCCAAAGGAAGGGAGGACAGCTCGTTGAATGTTAAATCCCTGCAGAATACAGGACATGCGGGTGTTAATCATTTGCAGTCGAGAACATGTAGTCAAAAAGTATTCCTATAGCACAGAAGATCCTACCAAAAAAATGCAGCATCGCAGATTTGTAGACACAGTTGTAAAGTCCCTGACTGAATAAGGGAACAACAACAACTTGAATTTATATAGTGCCCGTCCCAGAGGGTAGAGCAGGGTAGTGTCCCAGAGGATTTGACAGTGGTGGAGCATGATGCCAGGGAAATGTTGATCTCATCTCTCCAGAGCATCCACCTTACCATCTTCCCATTACATCATCAACCGGTTTTATTAAATGAGTCCAGTGTCCTAGCCTCAACCACCCTTCCCGGCAACCTGAATGACTCCTGGCAACCTTAACATGTCAAAACTATAAAAGAGCTATTCTTGTAATATTTTAGGATTCGATGTCTTTTCTGTGTGTTTCAGACTTTTATAGAGGCTTCAGCAACAGAGATGCACAATGGAGCGAGTTCCAGTTGCTCGTGGGCATGTCATACGAGATCATGGGAACTATTCACACATCCTCTGCTCAATATAGATCTGCTGAACGGTAAGCCGCTATCAAACAATAACATCTTACAAATGAAAGGTGACTGGAGGACATATATAAAATTGCACACATGCTGTCAAAAAGTGTGCAACAATGAATCTCGGATCCTCTTCTATTCTGCTTGATTCTCGGGCCAGAATTTACATGTCACGCATCTCTACTCTGCTCCTGTCAAGGCTGTGTTTGCACCTACAGTAACTGGTCATTTAGGAGTCAAAAATTCAAAATGAAATACTTACAATTTAGTTAAGGAGCGTAATGAGGCAAAAGCATCGAGGTGAATGAACGCAATTTTATTCCAGCTGAGATCTCTAAAATTGAGAGGGAAAAACTATCGTTAAAAATATACGCAAATTATAATCTGAAAGGCTTTCATTTCAACACTAGGCAGACCTCACAAAGTATGGAACTCAACGACATGCTTCCTATTACTAATAGTAATCATCCTTGTATTTGATGTAGCGCCTTATCACTTCATTGAGACATCGCTAAACCCTCTCAGGATATTCTGAAAAGTGGAGTAACTATGTATTTTGTGAGCACTATGAGGCACAGCCAGCTTGCGATCAGCAATGTCCCACACACAGCCATGGAGTGAGTGACTGATTCTTACTTGTGGGCTTGTTGGCCAAGAGACCTGGAAAAGCTCTCCTCTCTTTTCGAATATTGCCTCCGGATCTTTAACGTCACCTGAACAGGCAGACAGGACCTCGATCTAACATTTCATCCAAAGGACAGCACCTCAGACAATGCAACACTCCCCCGGCAGCACATTGGAATGTCAGCTTAGACTATGTGATTCCAAGTCCCAACGTGGGGCTTGAACCCACAACCTTCTGACTCAGAGGCGAGAGCGCGCCAGGGTGACACAGCACTGCTGCTTCCTTTATATTCGAGCACTGAATTGAGGCTGTAATATTAACGCACATACATTGTGACACACATTCCTCACAGGGTAGGTCAAAAGGACATTTGAATTGGTGAGAAGAGAGCGCTTCACTCTCTGTGGGGGTGATGAATGCACGATTAGTTTTGCAGTGCTAGGTACTTGAGCGGAACTGCACACTCACTCACTTGACACCCAGAGAGGTTCTTAAGCATAGAAGGATTCTTGTGCGGAGTGCATAAGCAGACGGTTCCAGGTCGAATTTGTTATTTGTAAGTCAATGATGTTAATGTTTCCGTAACCAGTGCAACCATATTCCTGGTGATGTGATGTGTAATACTAAAGTCCAGACCAATCTGTCTCATTATAGTCTTATTGTTGCCCATTCGGGCAGGTCACCCCCGATATAAATCAGTCTTTGGACTGCAGCACATATGAAATAAATGGGACTTGTGTATGAAAATAGAAACACTTTGGCAGACCGGTTAATAGGATTCATTACAATGTACGCAGATGAACCAACGCTGCCTGCCAAGGGTTAACGTGTGTGGCTGAGGGCTACATCTGTGAGAAAAAGTAGCTTTCCCACAGAGCTCTCGAATCACGACAATGAACACAAAAGGGCCAAATGACTAGGAACAAAGTTTATTTACTGCTGCAAGTTATGGTATTTTGTGCTGGAGGCTGTTTCTCCCCGTCTCCCAATTACGTATGGCTATTTTTTTGTCAAACTCGAGGCAAGAAAAAGGAAGTATTTTGGGGAACGCAACTTGTCTCGAATCGTTTAAGAGTTTGCTGCACGAACAGGGGATGCTACACCTACAAAGAGCACTCACTCACGGACACCTTATTCTACACAGCGACTTGTGTGATTGAGTTGCAGTCCCGGTGCCTGGAATCGGGTTTCTGTCTTATCAGCAGAGCACTAAAACTTCACCGGCCAGACTGCTTCAGGGAAGAATGCGAAAAGCTACTCACAGAGATCTCAGAGTCATTAGCTGTTGAAACGTGTCAGCTCTGATTTCAGTGATTCTATTGTGCTTCAGGCCGCTAAGAAAGACAAACAGTAACAATGAGATCAAGGTCTTAAGATATCATTCTTATTTCAGGTCACCGAAAGAAAAAAAATCAATCATTTTGGCATGAGAAAAGACGAAAAAATACAGAGCGGAAGTGGTTTTGTATCAAAATGTCAAAAGGGTGTCTCGACAATAAACAAAAGATACATTTGGCATTATCTGACTTTTTAAGAAAAATATCCATATAAATGGAAAACTTAGACTGTTATATTGACTTGTTAAGAGCCGAGAACTGGGGGAAAAAAACAAAGGTGCTGAGTCACTGCAAAGCTCTGATTTGGCTACGTTATTTGAAGAAAGGTCCACCCATACTCAATTCTACCCCTGATAAAGCTCTCTTTCAAAGGGACGAGTGAGAGGTGGGAGGGCAATATCTTGCTCATCTTGCCTAAACTCCGCATTTAAATTCTACAACCACAAGTTGCATTTAGCTAGCGTCTTTTACATGAGCGCTCTAGACTGCTACCCTGTGTGAGGGGCCCAACTTGTTGGTGTGTGTGCGGGGCAGGGGGAGGGGATCTCAGAGCACTGACTGGGCACCTGAGCTGGATAGATGGGGGGGTGAGGGGGGGAGATGTTGAATAATGGAAGAAAATTGTGAGAAAAAGTCAGGATCGATTTTTTTCGGTAACGGGGGACATCACGTACAATCTCCTATTGTCGGCCCGAATATGTTGACCTCAGCCCAAGGCTTATATGACCGGGGGAAAATTATTGGACTCCCACCCCACTCCCCACCCTGTGAATCGGAGAAAAGAAACCAAACAATTGTGAAGGTGGTTAGAAAATTGATGGGTAGAAGTATTGAGATAGCTTTTTAGGAATATAATAATAATAATAATCATCCCTGCATTTGATACAGCGCCTTATCGCATCTTCGAGACGTTTCAAAGCCCTTCGCAGAATATACTGTAAAGCGAATTGACTGTATATTTTGTGGGCGAAATGCGAATATATCAATATTATCAAATTCAAAGTGTAGAATGGAATACAATAAGATGGGAAATGGAAAAGATGTCTGAAAGCATGGCCAAAGCGGTAAGTCTTAAGGCGAGCTTTGAAAGCGGAGATTGAGGGGAGAGTGGGATTGGAGTTCCATAGAGCAGGGGCAGACAAATAGGCTAAAAACTTAAGTAACTTGTTGTGAATATCTCACACAAGAATATTTTATTTAAGGACTTACATTTCCTCCAACTTTTGGCAGTTATGGAAACTTGGCAGTTCGTGAATCTGATTGAACGATAATTCCCTGTAAATGTAAATACAATACTGTTAGCTATTCAGTCGCTATTTACGGCGGAGGCTGTGAGTATACATCACGGTAAATTTAAACTATTCTCATAACCCAGCGATAAAATGACTGGCTTTGTAAACAGTTAGCATGTGTTTGCGATCGAGAGGAGAAAGACTCATTTCAATGGTATGATTCCCGTCAACAAATATTTCTATTTCAGCCCACTGGCACTTAATTTCCAGGTTGTGCTAACTAACCATGTTTAAATGTATTTATACAGAGCGAATTCAAGGTACCCTTAAATATATCAGTTAATGATTGTTAATTTCATAATTTAAAGGGACATTGAATTCCCTCGTTACACACAATTAGCAATGAATTCCAAATAATAAAGTAATATAAATAGTCCTTACATTTGATACAGAGCCTTTCACGCTTTGAGAAAGTGCTTAAAGCGCTTCACAGGATTTATTGTAAGGTGTAGTGACTGTGTACTTTTTAGGCCAATTCAAATAATGTTTCCGAAACGTTACTGTGGATGGTACTTTAAACTGAAAGAACTTCCCTTTAAAGCCATGTTGCCCTTTGATTGTGAAGCAATCTGTCTTTGGGGAGTTGATAATTGTCTGCATTTTTGGTCATCTTTTCCACTCCTACCCCCAGCTCGGTTGCCCAGCCAACAGTTACAAGGGCTTTGAGACATCCCTCCCATGTGAAAGGCGCTGTATAAGTTGCATTGTATTGAATTGGTGTTGAGAAGTATCCAATAAGGAGACCTTTCCTGGCGTTTTTTTTAGGAGCTTGAGGGAGGGTGAGAGGTCGGCTGAAGGAGAAGCTGGACAACCCATCAGCCAAATTGTGTTAGACTTTGAAATTTTAGAGGCGAGCCTGACTTTAACCATCGATGATACCAGAGGGAATAAAAGTTATTTCCGCCTTGTTCTTTCATTTATTTTCCGGGAGTTACTCATTGAGCGTTATGACAAGGCAGCTTTTGCAGTGAGTAAATGTAGAAACACACCGATTCTGGACACAAACTGGGAACTGCAATAACTTTAATTTTACAACGTGTGAGATAATGCCTTGCAAGGGCATGTTTGGATTCTGAGCGAGGGAGAAGGGGGAGAGGAGGGTGGGGGGGAAGAGGGAGTTGACCATAAGCGCAGGTAGGTTTTTAGGTGAGAGGTAAGATAAAGAGGGGGTGAGATGGAGAGGAAAGAGAGAGAGTTCCAGAAGTTAGGGGCATAGCATCTGATTGAGACCACATGGGATGTGTTGCAAGCCTGAGGCAGTCGAGTGCAGGAGGGCGAACAAAAGAGTGGGTCAGGAGAAAGTCACAGAGATAGGGAAGTGCTAGGACATGAAGGGGTTTGTAAATGAGAGTGAGGAACCTGAAGCCTAGAACAAAATAAAGCAACAGTTACAACAACGAATTCCATTTACACAGCGCCTTTCACGAGTCAAGAGGACATCCCAAAGCGCTGGACTATCAAGGATTTGCACTCGAGTTGGGGGATGCTATCAGGTGGGGGGAACGGCAAGGAGAGTAGGAGGGTGCCCAAGGGAGCGGTCAAAGAGGACGGTCTTGAGATGGGATTATTAACCACATTGATCTTTGTCACTTGCTGCAATACTGCCCTGTCATGATATTCATCTCCAAAATGATATCAAATGTGCACAACATTCCTTTGCATGCAATATGAACACCAGTGTGATTGGTGTACAGCTGACCTACTAAACATATCATGTATTGGTGGAAAATTTACTTCCCGATATTGTTTAAGGTATAACAGTTTCGCCTTTAACCATGTAGCTGACTTTTCCAATTTTTAAAATGTATGTTGATGTGTTAGCAGAATGTAACATTATAACAATAATCCTTGCATTTGATATAGCGCCTTATCACGTCTTCGAGACGTCTCAAAGTGCTTCATAGACTATACTATAAAGTGAATTGACTGTATATATTGTGGGCAAAATGAACATGAGAAGGTTATTGACTTCTTGCTTAATGATAATTGATAAACTATATGTGCTCTTTGGGACATAATAATATTTATGATCTTATAAGATGGAGAACCTCGGCTAAAATAGCATCTTCAATAATGGGGAGATGAGGCTGATTCCATTACTAAGACTTAGCTAAACAATTACTATTTTAACTGTGTCAAGTGCATAAAGCGTTCTTCTGACCTGAAAGGTTACGATAGAAATTTAAATCGCTGTTGTATTCTTAGCGTCATGTTAACCGCCAGTGAGTTATGAAACCAGGAGGAGGTTTCAGCTCTTTATATTTGAGTATCATGCTACTTATAAAGAAAGAGCTTACATCAATTGCTGCAATGACTGTGTATTTTGAGGGTGAGTGCAGCAGCCAATTTGTGCACAGCAGTATCCCGCAAAGTGAGTAACCAATTTTATTTGGTCAAAGGGAGAAACTCCCTTCTCTTTTCGAATGGTGCCATGGGAGCTTTAACATCCACCCATATGGGACCTCAGTTTTAACATGGCATCTGAAGGACACCATCTCAGACGACCCAGTTCTCCTCCACTGCACTGCACTTGAACGTCAGCCTAGACAGCGAGGCTTCATGACAGAAACTCCACTGTAGACCGGGAATTATCACCAGTTCTGACTGATGAACATTGCGCAATATTAACTTAACAAAACGCAGTCATGTTACGGTTGTGATTCGAGAAGAGGGAAAAAAAGATCCATAATCTAAAGCCGGTCTGCGTTCCAGCTTGGAGTAGGATTAGAGGGTTAATATCAGAACATTCTTGCAACCAGGAACTAAAGTGTACTCACAGCACTCGTAGGTTTGGGAGTTGTTGGCAGAGACCCCTGGGAAGTGAGGTGATTCCAGCTCTAGTCAATGTCCTATCCAGGAGCAGAAAATTGATGCCATTATTTGGGAGCAAGCATGCGAGAAGCTCCTCAGTACATGACCCTTATTTTTACTGACAGAACTGACAATGTAATGGATAATTTAGGATGAATGAATGCCATCGAAAGAAAAGGGTAATAATTGCGACAAAATGGTGCCGGCTGTTCATTCAGAATCTAAGTTTGATAAACATGAATTTGTTACCTACAGTATTTCCAGACTGGTTGTTCCTTTAAGGTCTGGGAATTCCTTTATTTCACTTGCCCCATTTAGTGACCTGGAATTGACAGAGCAAAATCCATTACTTTCTTACATGCTTAGCTTAAAAGAAGGAGGGGGGAAAAATTGACACAGCATCACAGCTGTGTAATTATAAGCCCCTCCGCATTCTTAAAGGAAAGTATTTATATTGGCCCTTTTGTGTGTTCGAGCAAATTGCATTTATTTATCACATTTTAATTGGTTTGAATGACAAGACACCAACCAAATTATATTTGTACCAATACGTCTATTTTTACAAATGAATAATAAGCATAAATAGTCCTTACGTTTGGTACAGCACCTTTCATGTCAGGAGGACGCTTAAAGCCCTTCACAGGATATACTGTAACGTGCAGTGACTGTGTGTTTTGTGGGCGATGCGGCAGCCAAATTGCACACAGTAACGTCCCACAAACACTCATGAAGTGCACGACCAATTTTATTTGTTGGTCAGGAGATAGGCGGAAAACTCCCTTCTCTTCTTAAACAGTGTCAAAGGATCTTTAACGTCCACCTGAACAGGCAGATGGTGCCTTGGTTTAAACGTCTCATCCGAAGGATGGAATCCATGGCAATGGAAAACCCCTTCCAGCACTGCATTGGAGTGTCACTGTAGACTATGAGCTCCAAGTCATGCGCCACTTTTTGTTTGGTTTCTTCTTTCCATGTTCTCTTGTTTTAATAATACTAATGCTTACATTTAGTATGTATTGCCTTTTTCACATTGGTAGGACATCCGAAAGTGCTTCACAGGGCTCACTGTAAAGTGCTCTGATTGGGTGTTTTGTGGGCAAATGTTTAGAAGTGTTCACCAAAGTTTTCGGACACTTATTGAGTGCCAAAGTTCTCCTCTGTTCTCCTTTCTTCTCAAAGCACTGACTTGTCCTCCTCTACCTCACCCAAGTGGTTAGCTTATAACTGTGAGCCCAGGCAATGAGCTTGAGAAGGCTATTTGACCACACAGCTCATTGCAAAGGGGCCATACGCTGCCTTAAACCAGCATTCATGCATGTAACTCTCAAGAGAGCAATGGGAACGGTAGCACATATTTTCAATTTACGGATTAGCGGTGTGTAGCCGCTGCCCAGGCTCAGGTCTAGGACTCTTCAGTCTTGAGGACATTGGACTGATTTAAAAAGCAGCTTGATGCTGTGATAGGGGTTGGGGTGGGGGCGGGAGGGTGGGGGGACAGTAGGGTGGGTGTTTTGGAGGGATGAAATCAGATGGGGCCAAAGAGCCTTCTTCATCCAAACTGATAAACTAATCTTGTGATCGGCTAACCAGTCATAACCTTTTAGCTCACATGGTTTGGTGAAAGATGAGTCTTTATCCACGAACAACAGCAACCTGCATTTATATAGTACCCTTCAAACTGGATGGTATCTCGGAGCACTTAAAACCAACTAGAGGGGGCGGTTAGTCTCTGATACTTCAACCTAGACCTCCAGCAGAGCTGATGGACTACCCTGGTAATCTCTATGGAGCAGTAGGCTCAGCTCAGATCACTCTTTTGATATTAAAACTGAATGTCTCAAAGCTCTTCAGGTGAGGGAGTGTGAGGACATTAACCAAAGGCAGTTTCTATGGGATATTTAAAGCCAGTCAGAGAAGGCACAGGGAGAAGAGGTTTTTGCTCGCACTCGCAGACACTATCCTGCCTGAAGGGTGCTGTTTAAACACAAGTTATTGTTGTTGGTCGAGAGCACGGACTCTGAGCAGTGACGCACCTTACACGGCTCAGAACCAACAAAACTCACCAACTGTGCACAAGCAAATAACGATGATAGTAATAACACTTAAGTTTGACGCAAGGCCTTTGACATTGCGAAGTCACGTCAAAGCGATGCAATGCAAAGCGTAGTGATTGTGCATCTTGTAGATGAACGCGACAGCCAAAGTCCCGCAAACGGCTGTGAAGTGAAAACGTGTCCCAGGGGACAGATATCTCAGGGGCTTCCTGGTTTGGAAGTCAAACATTCAGCCATCTGAGCTACTGGGTTAGCTTTCTGAACTTATGAAAGGAAACACTTGGCTTAGCTCATACTTACAAGGTGTGAAGCTTTGGCAGATATTGAAAGGCTGATTTCCCCACAAACTGGATTGGATTATCATAAAAATGACTAAAGAGGAAGCAAAATGTTTAGATAGGTTTTTATACTGCATCCATCAGTGTCAAAGCTCACATCTGCTTTTCTTAAGTAAGCGCTCTGTGTAATCAGATTGAATAACAAAGCTCACTGCAGTCACATACAGAAATAGCTGAAGCAATCAAGAGAATCAGATATGGACCCTATGTTTTTACTGCTATTTGAAGAGATTATGGTGCGGAATTCATTTTAAACTAACACTAACATTTGTGAACGTGTCTCAGAAATGGGCTCTAAATAGCAACATTATGACATTATGTCATTACCTAACTCCGGTAGTTATTAACTATGAAAAACACTGATTCGTCTGCAGTGGGAGAACAGCTCTTGTCCATGAAGTTGTAGTCAAATACAGTACTCATACCCAAAGTACTAAACGGACAGCGCAGTGTAGTCTAGCTGGCTTCAACGGGGTGTAGCTGAATAGCTGTTCAGATTATGAACTGAAATGCCTCCCCACTCTATAGGGTTGGTGCTGCCAAAAAAAACCCAACTATTTCTTTGATGTGTACACTTGTGTCCACAGCCTTATTTACGCCATCACAAATATTAACCTGTTGACTGTTCATCTGTGTGCTGACTTCTGGCCAGTGTAAATAAAGAGCAGTATCTAGGCATCTTGAGAGGTTTTTACCAGGCCAATTAAAAAAACAAAATGACTTTAGAAATACCTATCAAGGGTGTTGCAAGTGAAACGCACAAAATTGATCGTGAGCAAGAATTTGTTGATAATATAACACCGCTTTCAGAGAGCAGGGATGGATACGGCTGATATATAACGGTGGCGGAAATCAATTTTTATTTTTTCCGATTTCCATAGGATCATATTGAGCGCTATTTTGAATTATCGTTTTTTTGGGGTGGGTGGGGGTGAGGGGATTTTTACCAATTCTTTTCATCAACTTCTTGGTCGCCAAGTTGCCACCGATGTCACTTCCTGCACACGCCGTGAGCAGAAACGCGCTTCCAAGTGGCAACCTGACAAGTCTAATTGGACTCCGTATGTTCTTCCACAGCAGGAAGAGATGGGCAGAAAATAGGCTGCAAGTTCAAGAAGCCAAATCCAAGCAGTTAAAAAGGCGTGGGAGGGTAGGATAAGAATGTGTTCTGTAGCTTGGCCAAGGTTTTATTTAACTCCGGTAAATAGATATTAATTTTTTTTTTGCTTTGGCAAAATTTATAGAATCCCGTCTCACTGACTTGGAAAGATTTGACATTTGTCCAGAAAGGAGCAACACTCAAGGTTAAGCTTTGTTATCTTAGACTGTCGCATGCATTTCGGCACACACTCGATTGAATAGAGTAAGAAACATTGACTGTAGGGCACTCAGGGGCAATTATACTTACATTGTTTGAAGTAATGGATTTCCAACAAAAGCCTTTTCTGGGATTGCCTTGATATTGTTGTTATGGAAACCCCTGTAACACAGATCAGTAATGCATTTGATTCAACTAAACTATTGTTTCAAAGAAAAAGCTGTAACAGATTTTGCTCATTCCCACTGTTTAAAGGACCCTTCCTGTATTTATCACATCTTTCTATTGTCCCTATATCTTTCACGTTATTCTACATCCTCAAACCCTACAGACCTGGCCGCTCCCTTTGCTCAGCACCTGCTCCATGTCCCCTGCCCTCCCCATCCCACCATCCGTGGTTATGCTTTAAGCCTTCTGCTCCTGCTCTCTGGAACTCCATCCCGTAGTCCCTCCAACTCAACCCCCTCCCTCACCTCATTCAAGATCTATCTCAAAATAATAATAATCCTTGCATTTGATATAGCGCTTTTCACGTCAGGAGGACGTCCCAAAGCGCTTCACAGAACACACTGTAAAGTGAATTGACTGTATATTTGTGGGCAAACCAGCAGCCAATTGCGCACAGCAATGTCCCACAAACAGTTGTAGATTGAATATGACCAAAACCTTCCACTTTAACCGTGTTTTTGATCACCTTTCTCCCTCCCCACCCGAATTGACTCCCAACCCTAGCCCAGGTGTTAAGCACCTTGGGACGTCCCCCTGACGTGAAAAGCGCTGTACAAACGTAAATTAGTATTGAATTGTAAGTTGATTTCTTATGTGCGAGAAACTAAATATCATTAACATTTATTCACCCAGAGTAAAATCATTGAAGTTTTTACCACAGTGAAATTCCATTCACATCTCACAATGTAAAGTCTTAGGGCACAATAATACTCACAGTTCTTGAAGTTTGCTTAGAGTCCGGATTGCTACAGGAAATTCAGACAGGTCATTGTAGTTCAGATCCCTGGCAAAAAAAAAGTGTTGATAATAATAATAATAATAGTCCTTGCATTTGATATAGCGCCTTATCACGTCTTCGAGACGTCTCAAAGCACTTCACAGAATATATTGTAAAGTGAATTGATGGGACCTAACTAAATAGAACCATAAAACTTTACAGCGCCTGAATACGTCTGTCCTGACATATGGAAATTATTGCATCATCTGCTTTGAACGAACAAAAACGGTGATAACATAACATGTTTTGCAGGTATGCAGTCACTCTGCCAAGCACACATTTTCTATCACTGGCCTTCCACACACTGTCGGTATCTTTGTGGAAACATATGACCCAGGTTGGCCTACCCGACAGTGGATGGAGGAAGCTGTGTTTAAAGACGAAAAAGGACCTTATGTTGCAGCCAATCTGTTTTCTTCACAATGCAACTGCTGCACATCACTGAGTAATCCAGCCTGGACTGTATGAATCTACAGATCCCGACAACAGAGAGTGCAAGAATGAAAAGTTCTTTACCGAACCCCTAACTGATAATAATAATAATAATAAAAATCCTTAGTTTGTTATACTGCCCATCACCTTAAGAGGATGTCTCAAAGTGCTTCACAGGATTTACTGTAGAGACAGGATTTTGTATGTGAATTTTGCAGCCAATTTTGAGAACAGCAATGTCTCACAAAGAGCCATAAAATGAATGACCACTTTAATTTTGGGGATGTGGGACAAAACACCAGAAGAAACTCCCTTCTCTTTTTGAGCAGTGCCGTGGGATCTTTAACGTGCACCTGAACAGGCAGGTGGGACTTCAATTTAATGTCTCTTCTGATGGACATCATTTTCAACAAAATAGCACGTCGCCAGCATTGTATGGAGTGTCAGCCTAGTTTATATGAATTCAAAGTCCTGATGTACGGCTTCAGCCCACAACCTTTGGTCTATCAACTTAGACCAGGCTGACACCTAGATATGCACTGAGGAAACAGAGCCCAAACTATGTTTGAAGACACAAGTATAAACAACTGAAAAGAGATACAATCGATGGATGTTTTGTAAATACTAATAGCAAATCACGTTGAAAATAGCCACCTTTTAGACCCTCAAATGGCAACGCCAATTTTCTAACTCAGGTACTCATGTTACCGGCAACGTTACATATTTATTGAGTCTTTTTCCTGTCAGAAAGAAATAAAAAATGGCAATTTTCTAAATGACAATTTAAAGTCCTTCCATTGTAACGTGTCATGAAGAATAGAATATTAGGAGCAGGAATAAGGTCATTAAGTCTGAGGTGCACTTCCTTTCTGAATTATGTGCAACCCACTTACCCCTCCTCACCATTTCTTTCAATCCTTTCTCTCTACAGACATACATCCAGGTGCCTTTTGAACCCATTCATGCTATTTGCTTCATTGCCTTGCCTGGCAGCTTACGCCTTAGGTCTATGACCTTTTGTGTTAAAAAAGTTCCACCTGACTTCCTTTCTTCCTTCCAACATCCCTTTTTTTTTGACAGATCATCTGTTGCAAGAACTATCTTCAAATATGCTCTCAGTGAAAGGTCATTAAGAACAACAACGAGATTCCATTTATAGAGCGCCTTTCACGTCGGGAGGACGTCCCATTAAGGAGCATTGACCCATAAACTGACAGCAAAGGTCTACATAAATTCCTACCTCTATGGATCCACCATTTCTGTGGCTGTCTGAACATGAGGATGCCTTTATTAGCGTAACATTGGGTGAGATGCGCCAGTTTCTAATACAAGGAATCCATTTGGGAGAACCAGCAGATGGCACTCCTCTCCAGCTATGTGGTTTGCCACCATTTTTAAAACATATTCAGCGATGAGCAATTCTATTTTGTAAATTTCAGACCCTACATGAGGCCTCGGTGTTTATTTTGGGGTTTATCTGGTGGGAGGGCCTAAAAACACACGCTCCTAAACAACCAAGACACTCTCATTCCACCCAAGGGACGTCTTGTGAACTGACCATCTTGCACGCCCACCTGCTGATCCTAGCTGCAAGGAAAAGCTAAAGGAAAGAATTAAAGTTAAAGTAATTCTTACATGTTGCACTTTGGAAGGAAATCTTCCGAGAGTGCGCGCGCCCCCCCCCCCCACCAATAACGTTTTACTGACTTGCAGAACTTTCTGTGCACAAAGAAACCCTGGTAGACCTGGAGTCACTATGTGAGGATGACAACAACAAAAACAACTTGTGTATATACAGCGCCCCTCATGCAGGGTAGTGTCCCAGATTGCATGGAGCTGTTGTTTGTTTCCTTTAAGATGCTGCATTGTAAGCGATCAAGAACGTGCATCCACAGACAGATGTGCAAGAGCAAAAACTACTCTGGCTGTGACTCTACAAACGTTTAACTGTTAGAATTTAGTGTTTCATTGTGGTGCTACACCAAATGGCTCACTATTTATTAAGTTACTTATATTTTAAAACTAAAGCCCAAAGCATTTTTGAACGGTACCCTGATTTCAATGAAAAACCACATTCTTTTGTTTTGTCTGAAACCATTGTGAAGAAACTATTTGATTTGTGGTAACAGAAACAGTGGAAAATTGCTGAAGGGATTAGCAAGTTCGAGTGATGTAATGCATAAAGTGGGGGAAAGTAGACATTTTGATCAGACAGCTGATGTTGGGATACATTCATGCTCACTCCACAGGTCCAACACATCACAGAGTATGGAGTCAGGACAGTAACATAATAATAATAATCATCCTTGCATTTGATACAACACCTTATCACGTCATCGAGAAGTCTCAAAAGTGCTTCACAGAATATACTGTAAAGTGAATTTACTGTGTGTTTTGTGGGCGATTTCAAACGATTTCAAACTTGGTAAAGGTACCATCTCTTCCTGGTTCCCAGTATAACGTTTATTGCATCCAGTAGAACATCGAACATCTTCACAAACAGAAGCTGAGCAGGTGCTGTTCCCAACATTGTGGGGAGAAAATTTTACGAATGTCTATGTGCGTAAAAGTATCTTTTTCAGTAATATCCTGGTAAGGTTTTCCCTGAGCGTCTCAATGTCTTTTTTTAAAAAAACTGTACTGTTGCCAATATTGAACACTGATTGAAGGAAGTTGAGAGTTTTATAGCTTCTTTATTGTTTTGTGCGGCTGAGCTTCTAAACTGTTTTTGGGTACACCTGTGTCAAACATTGAGCTGCTCTGATAGGATGTGCCGTTGTTACAAGTCTATTCCTGTCTGAGGACACCACAGATAAGATGCTGGCGTCATGTACACCTGCCAGCTTGGCCTTCAAGAGACATCAATTTATAGATATGGTGGAAAAAAAATGTTCTCCAATTAAAGGGACATGCTCACCAATATTTTTCTCAAACAGACATAGCTGTTAGTTCTAAGATGAGCTTCAAGAATATCAGCGCTAAATCTAATGTCCGTAAAACATTTGTCTACTGTGAATAATAATAATAATTGTTGCATTTGATATATCGCCTTATCACATCTTCAAGACATCTCAAAATGCTTCACTGAATATACGGTAAAGTGAATAGGCTCTATATTTTATGGGTGAAAGGGAAGGAATTCCTAAAAGTTACGCTAATCCATAAATAAGCAGTTAGCATGACATAATAAGGGTTTGACGGTGCTACCACATATTATTTTAGGCCAAAATACAGCCCTCTGGAATTTTTTATATTATCAAAAAGGATCGCACTTTGTAACCCTAAAAATTCTGTCATCTCCTGACAAAATGTTGTGTCCCATAACATTAGTTCCAAAGGACAATGCTATGACAGAGTGCACCTTTACAGTGCTGTGTCTCACCAACACACTTTTCCCTTGAACTATCAACGTAGAGAACGCATAGCCTGACAAACAACCATACCCCTGACAACCACTCTCCTGGGCTGGATTTCTGGTTGGTTTTAAACAAAGCTCTTGATAGCTGCCTATTTATCTGCTGAAAATTTAGGACAGTTAGTTTTGTGTGTGATATAGTGGACAAAGCAAATGTTCTTGTGAAATCTGACTAACGGCTATGATTTGTGAAAGAACACGATACGAAAGACTGAATCAGACTCCAAATGCAATTCAGCGATGTGTCATCACTGTTATACCTTTAATAGAGTCTGTTTTGCAGTTTTTTTTTACATATCAAGTTCATTCACAAATCTTAATCATTAGTCAGATGCATGAAAAAAACATCAAAGCTTTTATTTAAGGAGAAGTACTTTATATATTTTATCTCTTAAACTAAGCTGCAATATTTGTTGTAGATAGGAGACAATAGAGGCTTTTATAAATGGTTGACGTCCTTGCCAAATTCACTTTTAGCATTGTAAACTCTATTGCAACAGAGGTGACTCAAAACCAAAATCTATTGCCAGCTGCTTTGAATTACTTATTGTACAGACTTAGCCAGTCTGATTATTGAAAGAATAAGAGGTGATTTATATGCCGTATTAATTAATGGAGCCTTGTCCAAAAACTGCAGGGTGTAACTTGTTCTCTGTCAAAAAAAAATTGACTCCATTAAAGTTAGTTTGAACTTAAAAGGAATATTAGTCGCGGGAAAGATATGAAAGCAAGTGGGAAGCTGCTCTGAGGAAGGGAAGTATCTTCTCTGTGGTGACCTGACAAAAAAAATTGGAGTTAAACCTGGGCTCAAATGTTATTTGTAAAGGCAGCTACAGCCCCAACTACTGTTACCATGAAATTGAAGGATGCAGAGACGTGAGATATGGGGGATGTGGGTAGGAAGACATACCCATGGCCAGATATTTATTTGGTGGAATCTTCTGTGCTGTGATAATGATGGTCATCATATTATAGGTTGCAACTTTCACCTCACCTGCAGAGCTTTCAGCAAGAACGTCCCCGCTCTCCTGAACTCCTAACTCCCACTGAAAATCCCTTCGCCTCAAGCCATCTGTCTTTATTTTCAACCTCCTTTCGAGAAATCTAACTCTTAGTGATCTTTGGATCACTTTCCCCCCCCAATGTGCTTTTGCGATTCACATCAGCCCAGGTAGATGTGTTGTAGCGACTGGGATAACAGCCAGAGAACAGAGTGTCGAGTAACCACTGGAACCCCTCAACGTCTAATCTCAGGACCGGCAAACACCTGATTCACTCAATTGCTTCAGGTCTGTTTAAGTGCTGAAGCTTCTCTACCAAAGCCCTGATTATTGTATGCTTCACATCCCAGTAGTTCTTAATATTTCCCATTCCATCCCTCCCCACTTTTAAAGCCTTGTTTTCCACCGCGCTTTTGGTCACCTTTCCCCATCCACCTGATTCCTCGGATAATCCCATCACCCCCAACTCGGGATTCCTTTCTCCATAGATGCTGCCTGACCTGCTGAGTGTTCCCAGCGACTTCTGTTTTTGAACTATAATGAAGAGTTACACGGAAGGCACTCATTCGCTCTTAATTCCCACTGTTGCTTTGCAATACAATACAAATTGACATCCTATTGAGGATCAGATTTCAACGAGAAGAAAATATTCAACTGTGTTAAAAAAAATTCCAGTGGGCTCATGGGTTCTGATATAGTGATGATCAGTCTTAGCAAAAGCTTTAATTTGCTGGTTACTTTTTCCAACAACTGCTTGATTTTATGCAGCACTTTCAAAGCCTTTTTAAGTCTCAACCTGTGAGATGACCTGCAGATAAATGTCCTCCTCAGCAAAGTGCTCTGACCCTAAATAAATAAACTTTTAGAAATCAATATAGCGAGGGAAAAAGAGATCAGATGCTTTGTAGTTTAAATGCAAGTTCCCCTCCTTACTGGTTGAGAAAATAAACAGTCTCTGCGTTCACTGTCTCTCCACCTGAAGAAAAGAAAAATCATGGTTCCCATCTGACCAGATAATAGGTCCAGACTTGCCAAATCATTTGAATGACAGTCACCAAAGATCAAAAGGAAAACTGACAATTATTCGCAAGTGTTTACATTTTTCGAAAGGCATTCATTTCTGTCAGTGACATTGCAACAATGCATGCAGAGATATCATGATCATACTATACTAATCTTTGCATTTGATGTAGCATCTTTTCACGTCAGGAGGATGTCTGAAAGCGATTCGCAGGATTTACTATAAAACTCTGCAAAGCGAGGCAACTCTGTATTCTGTAGGTGATCGGGATAGCCAATTTGCACACAGCAACAACAACAACAACAATATTCCATTTATCTCAAGATCTGATAAACAGCCCTGAAGTGAAAGACCAATTTTGTCTGGGAGTCTGTTGGCTAGGACACCAGGAAAAACATCAAATTCTTTAAACAATCAGGCATCAAGACAATTAAGTTCCATCTTGGTGCACGCACACACAACCCAAAGAAATCAGGTATTTGTTCTTTAGCTTCATTTAAGGCAAGAGGGCAATCTGGTCTTCATTAATAGCAAAAAAAATTCAGAATAAAGCTGGTTCATCCTGTGGAGATAACACTGATGAACCCAGCGTAAATTGCACTGTTTCTGAAACCACTTCCTCCAAGATGTTTCAGAGGCAAGATCTTCAGACGTACTCGTGTACATTTATATTTATTCTAAAAAAAACGTTTCTGGGACCTTATTTGATATACATTAAATGTTTAATGCAAAGAAGGTAGTTTCACCTGGTGTCCTGGCTAACAATCCCCCCAAATAAAATTGGTCAATTAATTTCATGGCTGTTTGTGGGACATTGCTGTGGGCATCTGGGCTGCTGTGTTGACTACAACAACAACAAGATTCCATTTATAAAGCGCCTTTCACGTCAGGAGGACGTCCCAAGGCGCTGCACAGTTGGGTCATGACCCGAGCAGGGGGGAAATGGTCAGGGTGAGGGGAGGGAAGGGAGGGAGCGAGGAGGGGGGAAATGGTCAGGGTAAGGGGAGGGAAGGGAGGGAGCGAGGAGGGGAAGAGAGTCGAGAGGGGAGCTGAAGGCTCGGTCAAAGAGAAAGGTTTTGAGAGCGGCCTTGAAGGAGGAAAGGGAGGAAGCAAGGCGAAGGCACTGGGGATGGAGTTCCAGAGCCTCGGGGCTGAGAGGCTGAAGGCCCGACCACCGATGGTAGTCCGGTTGGGGCGGGGGACGTGGAGCAGACCGGAGCCAGAGGAACGGAGGGTACGGGCAGGTAGGTAGGGGGATAGTAGGTCGGAGAGGTAGGAGGGAGCAAGGCCGTGAATGGCCTTGTAGGTGAGGATGAGGATCTTGAAATCAATCCTCTGGGGGATGGGGAGCCAGTGGAGGCGAGCGAGGGCGAGGGTGGGAGTGATGTGTTCCCGAAGCCTGGTGCGGGACAGTACACGAGCTGCAGAGTTCTGAATGACCTGCAGTGTGGAGGGAGGTGGCGGGAAGGCCGGCGAGGAGAGAGTTCCCATAGTCCAGCCTTGAGGTGACAAAGGCGTGGACCAGAGTTTCAGCAGCGTGAGGGTGAGGTAGTGCCGTAGTCTGGCGATGTTCCGGAGGTGATGGAAGGCGGTGCCAGTTGTGGTGCGGATGTGAGGGAGAAAGGACAGCTCAGGGTCGAACAAAACGCCGAGGTTCCTGACTGGCTTTGAGAGGTGGAGACTACAAAGAACAAAGTTCGCCCACAGAATATACAGTCAATTCACTTTACTGTATATTCTGCAAAGCACTTTGAGACGTCTCGAAGACGCGATAAGGCGCTATACCAAATACAAAGATTATTATTACACCGTCACTTCACAGTAAATCCTGTTAAATACTTTGAAATGTCTTCCCAATGTGAATGATGCTATACAAAATGCAAGGATTATTACTATTAATGGGTTAGATAGAGTGAGTAGTAACCCAGAAGCAATATGTTCAGGTACACCTAGGGAGTGAGAAACGAAGACGCAGATTTATGGTCGGGAGAGGCAAGTTGAAACGGATGGTCGAAGCCATGATACTGGGCTCATTGAAGAAATTGCTAAATGCTATTGTGGGCCGGCAATGTTCTGGAGGGATGAGATCAAATAGGCCAAAGAGCCTTCTTTATCCAATTCCGTTTTGTGTTCTGTTGTGATCCTGTAATCGTTTAAATTGTAAACAAGAGGATTATGTGATGCAACAAAGACATCTCCTGGGCTCTCAATAAATCACAGGGCTCTAGGCCAAAGATGATATCAGCACAGGCAGAAACCATACATTGACTAAGTAAGGCTGGCGCCTCTTTCCATTATGTTGCGTCTTACATTCTTCTAGATGAAATATCGAGGATATGTACAAAACTAAAATCAAAGCTTTCGTGATTTCTAAACGTGCTGAATTCTGGAACCCGAGGGCATTATTAGTAGGATAATGGCATCTTTATCATCACAACATGTGCAGTGCAGCCAACAAACAAAACAGAACCAGAATTAATTGCAGACCGTTAGGTTTGTATTATTTTGTTTATGAGCATTGCTTCGTGTGAGACAAAGGGTACAATTTGAGAATTTTTTTTTAATCGTAAACTCACAAGAAAGTTAAAAGGGTTCGGAGCCAAGCTAAGGGGTGTTCGAACTCTGTGCACCTCTCCCACAGTGATTGATTTATTTAGTCATTGCTTTAGAATACTTTCAGATCCAACAAGGCAGCAGAACAAGAGCAAAACTTGCTTGCCTTTGAAAGGGAAGTGCAGAGCAGACCCCCATGATGTATTTTACACACAAGAGAATTGACACAAGCAAATCGCTCCGGACTCTACCCCCATCTGAAGGGCGTTATATAAATGTTGTTGTTGTTGACAGGTTATTACAAAATGTGGTAGAGTCCAAGACCCGGGACTCATTGAAGTAAGAGTTTAAAGCTGCAAAAGTGAAGATGACAGGATTAGTGTTCTGAAAGGATGAGATCAAGTGGTCTTCGCGTGAAACTATCTTGTGATCTTCTGCTTTTCCTGCCCAATATATTAGGAATCCTCTTGTTAATTTAACACCAATTCCAGGAATCTGAATCTCTTTTCACACACGGAAATGTTGGTACGTTTATTCCGAAAACCTGAGTAGATTATATTCACTGAGCAGCTTGTGTCCGCTAATTGAGTTACCTCCTCAAAGAATTTAAACAGAATTTTTCCGTATGAAAAAAATCCATGCTGACGGTTCCCCTCGGAGTTCTTTTAGAATGAACACAGTGAGCATTTCGTGAAATATCTGCGCTGTCTGGTGTTTTTTATAGTTTTAGTGTCCTTCCACTGATTCATTTTCTCCAGTTAATAGGACAAGTGAAGAGTTATGGGTAACTCTTGGCAAGTGAAGAGTTAAAACTTGAGTGAGTATGGAAATGTAGCAACATTTTGCCAGCAGCCATATCATTAATGGCTTATCTTCAAGTAATGATTGCCAGGCATCATTTATTCTATATAAAAATCCTACCATGATTCAATCTCATGATCTTAGTAATGGGAGGCTAACACAAGACAACTCAATAACACTCCTCAATAACACTGGAGCAGGAGTCTGCTATAAATGAGGGTGTCCTTTGAAGCCCAGGTTATCGCAAACAACGTCAGCAGAGACCGATGCCATGATTAAGCCCTCCAAGGTGATACTCCGAGTTAAGGGCGCTATACAAACGCAAATTCTTGTTGGTTTGTATTCCGTGCGGGCATTTACAACATGAACAGAAATTAAAGTTACTTACAGTGTCTCTAGACTGTGGAGTCCATCAAAGCAATTCCTTCCAAGGGACTGGATATTGTTGTTATGGAGATGCCTGTAGAGAAGATTTGTATCTCATTTAGGAAAATTGTTTTCAGGAGAAAGATCAAACAAGTTAACTCTGAGAAGATGCTAGACAAATGCAAGTTGTTTCTGCTGTTTCAATCTCAAGCCCCATTTAAAAATAGTTCAAAACCAAAGGCACAAATATGGATTTTTTTCTTTACCAATTACTGAATGCTGTGTTTTCTGATGATGAGTGCTAGAACTGTCATCACTACACGACTGGTATTGTGTCAATATTACAAGGTTTCTCTTTATTAACACTATACATTGAGTAAGATTATAGTAATGATAATCTTTGCAATTTATATAGTACCTTATCATATTGTTGAAACATCTCCAGTATCGTCATATACTGTGAAGTGCAGTGACTGTGGGTATGCATAGTGTCGCATATACAGCCAATTATATTTGGGGGCGTGTTGGCCAGGACACTGGGAGAAACTCGCTCTTCCTTTCGAATAGAACCATGGGATATTTAACGTCTACCTGGACAAGCAGACCGGACCTCAGGTAAGAACATAAGAACATAAGATATGCTGGACGAAAAAAGACCAAGGTCTATCTAGTTCGCCTTCCACCATCCTGGCGGTCGCATGCACATATGTCCCAAACTACCTATGTGCTATATTCCATAATGTTATTCCCTAAAAGAAAACATCTAATCTGTGTTTTAAAGAATCAACAGTTCCTGCTTCAACCATCTCCCTAGGGAGCCTGTTCCATAGGTTCACTATTTGCTCACTAAAATAATGTTTGCGTAGATTCGTTCTGAATTTACCAGTTCTACATCTCATAGTAGGGTTTCAGACTCTGAGACACTACCCGGCATGGAGGGCTCTATATTAAATGCAAGCTGATGTAACTTAAGGCAAAGTAAGCATCTCATGAGGTCTATGTATCCAATATCCACACAAGATTACTCAATGCATTTATCACTACATCAAATAACCCTGAGCTCCTTCAATTGAGAGGAACTTGTCTAGTTCCATTTTGAAATCCTTCGTAGTTTCTTGTTCCATCATCGATACCAGTAGTCTGTTCCACATGTCTATTGCCCTTTCACTAAAGAAAGTGTCTCCAAGTCTCACTTGTTACCCCTATTTTGAAGATTTCATGGCAGATCCTTCAATTCAGGCAAATCAAGCATCAGAAATTGCAAATCACAGCTACCACAACAGACCACAAAAATGTTTATGTGAATTTCAAATAGTTATTGATCCTTATTGATTCTTACATGTCCGTACATCTCCTAAAATATTTATTTATGAACTTGAATTTTCAATCATAAATTTTGAATTCAAATCTCTGAATTTAAGAATTTTTGCCCAATTTTGTGCCATCTTAAATTCGAAGACAAAAGCAGCTTTACAGGATTAAACATAATAGGATGTCTAGCCACGGGACGCTGTAGAGAATCAACAACAACTTGCATTTATATAGCGTTCCTCACGCAATGTAGCGTCCCAGAGCGTTTGCTCCAACATAAGCGGGCGGTCATTAAATTAAATTTCAAGACATTACATTCCGATAGCAAACCACCTTTTCCTTCTTGTCAACATGTAAATATAATAATAATATATTAATAATAATATTATTAGTAGTAGTATAGTGATGGAAGAGGCATTGGGATGAAAAGATCTGCCGAAATCCATTAAACCTTTTGGAACAGACTCGATGGGCTGAATGGCCTCTCCCTGTTCCTGTTTTCCTACGTTCCTATCAGTGACGTGTCAAATAGGTCTTTTTCCTGACGTTGCCTGTGCAGATCTCTCAGTGTGAGTGACCGCCCGCTAGTCTGGAAGCAAACCTGTTAATTTCTCATCTCATATGTGTGTGTGTATATATATATATGTATATACATATATATATATATAGCAGGGAGATGCAGAAAACTTTTTTTTTAAAAATGCTCTTCAAAACCGAACAATGACGAGATTAGCTGCATGTTGGCAACTGTAGAGGGTTGATGTGGAATGAAATGCCTTTTAAATTATACATGATCGGATCTGTTCTTGGCTCAGTCCCTGACTGGAAAGCTTCAAAGTCCTTGAGTTTTTTTTTCCCCCTCGGGGGTAGGGAGAATGAGCACAAGCCTGTTTTGTCCCGTAGCTAGGACATTTCCTGCTGCTTTAACACGTCGGTCTCTGTGGCCTGGTCAGTCAGTGTAACTTTGTCCCGGGCCATTCAGACGAAGCTAAACTTATCTTCGAAGGAGGAGGTCAGATGGGGAAAATTGTGAATGAAACCCACTTGTTGGTTGGGACGTGTTGGACGCCGGTTAATGCAGTCATTATTCCCCACTTGACGTCTTCGTCCTTTTCACCTCACCTTCTTCAAAACGACCTGCTCCCTGGCATTTTCTCGAACTTTTGCTGGCAGTTTGCCAACTATGTAATTAGCTGTGCAACTTTCCAGTGCAACACGTGCAAACCGGGAGTCATAGCAATTAATGTAACGAATTCCATTTGGCGAATATCACACAAATAGATGACCCCCCCCCAAACCCCTCCCCGCTTCACCCCACACAATGGAAGTGACGATATTTTAGCTTTGATTAATCTTTTGTAACCTAATGTCCCCATGTGTTAACAGTACATTCACGAGGACAGGGGCACTAGGATACATTTCAAGCTCGACAGCAAAAACAATTATGTGCGAAGAGAGTTGTATAAAACCACATTGGGGTTGGAAATCTGCTTCATTTTGAATGAACAGGGGGAAAAATCCCATCTCTTCCACCCGCCCAAAACTTTTTGTTGGGTGTGGGTGGAAGAGGGTTTGAGGGTTTTGTCTGTGCGGCAGTAAGTCAGGTCAAGTCTTCAGTTTTCAATGAGTTGCCTGGGGCTTGTTTTGATGTGTTTTTTACCCCCCCGCCAAAAGGTCGAGGGTGCAAAGTACATTAAAGGATCCACCAGCAGTTTGTCAGCAATCAAAACACCCTAAAGAAAATCCAGCCTTTGCCTGACACAATACTTCTGCTACACTTCAGCGAGCACCCACAGTCAAGCACCTGCAGGCTCTAGTAAATATTAACCCTAGGTCAAAAACATTGGAATTATGCCTGGGCGCTTCTTGTTTATTTGGTGGATAAACTGTTTCTGGGCACACGAGTTGTTAAAAATAATACCTTTGATTGACTTTTACCCCCACCTTGCAGGTTGCCCCTGGTTGTATTCATTTCAACGCACGTGTTCTCGTCTAAAGACCTTCCCTTCGACTGTGCCTTTGGCCACCCTCCCACCTCCCCACCCCGTGCTCTCCACCCCTCCTGACCCCGACTCCCAGCTCGGGACCAAACCCTTGACTGTCCAGCGCCCTGGGATGTCTTTCTGATGCGAAGGGCGCTGTACAAGTGTCATTTGTTGTTGTTGTCATCAAGGAATCCAACAGAGCTGTCCTCACACAGCACAAACCTCACGCAAAGCAGAGTGCACCAGGGCTTTGTGCCAGTATCTTGCAATTCCTAAATTAATTATTAGATGGCCTGGAAGCTCAAACAGTTGAACACTTGACTAGCAACAAGGAGGTTATGGGTTCTAGAACTGCCTTGGGACTTGCTTGCACCTTGGTTCCAGAAAATGTATCAGCCTGCAGTTAGGCCACCAGATGGAGTACCTTCAACACCAACAACAACTTGCATTTATATAGCAACCCTCATGAGGGGTAGCATCCTGGAGCACTCCTGGTGCTTGGGGTAGTGGGGGATGAGACAGGAAGCAAGGGGGACGTGATAGGGTCTAATTCCATCCCACCCGATGCATTTTGCCTCCTGTTGAATAAATTAACGGATTATTCCATCTTCCAAGGTGACTGGATCAGGAGGAAGTCTCAAAGATCTGTACAGGATTTACTGTAGCCACTCGGTATTTTGTAGGCGAACAGGAAACGAGGGAGGGGGAAGGGATCAAAGGAGAGGGAATTGAGGGAGGTACACGGACTGGTTGGGCCGAATGGCCTGTTTCCGGCCCGAAACAGTGTATGCAATTCCATGTAAGCACTTAATAACAATAATCCTTGCATTTGATATAGCGCCTTATCACTTCCTCGCGACGGCTCAGAATAACTTCAGAATATTCTGTAAAGCGAACTGACTGTGTACTTACAGTACGACTAGGCTGGAGAGATTGACGAACGCATCATCGGAGATGTGTGTTATTTTGTTGAGAGCTAATGTCATTGCCTGGAGTGAAGGCAAGTTGTTCAGAGCTCGAACAGGAATTTCAGTCAGTGCATTATCATCAAGCCAAAGGTGCCGTAGGGACTGCAGTCCTTCAAAGCTGTTCTGAGGGATGACTGAAATAAGGTTCGCATCCAAGCGTCTGGAACAAGAACAAGAGAATTATTTTTTTTCCCTTCCCATAAGAAAGCAAAACATTATCTCCATGAACTGTGTAATGAGCTGGCAATGAAAACAATTAACAGTATTTAAGACCAGTTATCCAGAATTACAAGCCTTTGAACAGAACAACGAGTTCACATGTTATGACAAAGCTCACTGCAAAATAATAAGCAAACACTGTTGTGAGGTAATTTTTTTTAAAAAATGGGAGTTTCGCCCACAAGATGCAGTCAATCCACTTTACAATATATCCTGTGAAGCACTTTGAGGCATGCGTGATAAATAATAATAATGCATTTAATATAATGCCTTATCAAGTCTTCGAGATGTCTCAAAGCGATTCACAGAATACACTGTAACTGAAGTGAATTGACTATAAAATTTGTGCGGCAACCAGTTGTGCACAGTGATGAGGCGTTACATCAAATGCAAGGATTATTATTATTAATACTAAAAATAATAATAATCCTCGTGTCTCATTCAGGGCGCTTCACAGGATTTACCATAAATTGATGCTACTGTGAATTTTGTTGGCAAATGCGCAGTCAATTTGCACTCAGCAATGTCCCATAAACTGCCCTGTAGTGAATGACTAATTGAATAGTGCTGTGGGATCTTCGAAAGTCCACCTGAACAGGGAGATGGGACCTCGGTTTAATGTCTTACAGTATATACAGTACTGGAGAGTTCAAGTAGAACAGATTAATCTGAAGGACAGGACTTGATTAGTTTCTTTAGATGAGTTTCCAACCTCTGTCACATTGGTGTCAGCCATTTATTTTAAATTAGCGACTCTCCCATTTTGTCTTTCCTGGATCGTTTCAGTTTCTACAAATCTCTCACGAGTCTCAGCCATAAACAATTTTTTTTTGCTACAGACACAGTAATATAGATAATCATTAGACCATCTCCCTTACACATTACAGTTTTGCCCATCAGTGTAATTTAACAGGTTGCCCGACCCTGAGGTTTAAATTTAACATTGTCAGTCATATCACCGTATTTTCGGACACTGCAATCGAATCTAAGATTGAGCAGCACAAATCACTGTTTAAGCATACAGCAAGCCCAAGCCTGAAACCCACTCAATTAAACAGATTTCAGTAAATCAAATGCAATTAAACTGTAATTAAATGTGATTTATTAAATAATATTAAATAAAATGTCGGGTGTAAACTGTAATTTGCCTCACCTGCACAAGGGAATGTTGTATCTTAAAAAATTGTAATCTTGCTGAAAGCAATTTTTTTTGGCAGTCTTTTAATGTACGCAAATAGTTAACAAAATCATTGCGTGAACCATAATGATACATTCAGTTCTGTTGCAATTACTCATGTTAAAAATCAGCTTCAATGCCCCCCCAAGTCAACTCATGGCACAAAGCAAAACCCCACTCACTGTATTAACAAGAGCATCGGCAGTTTGTAATTGGCAATCCGTACAAGAGCAATTTTTGGGAGGTCAGGACGTGTGTCTGACACATGCTTAGGAGTATCGAAACCAAACTGAGAATTCCATGCATCCCACCTACACATGGAAATCCCAGAGAAAGACTGTTGGAATGGCATGCGCTACTCTCACACTCCCTGGAGGGACACTTCCTGCTTACCTAATTCTGGAAAGTGTTAAGTGCAGGTTGGCAAGACTTGGAGACCCCAGAGTGTGTGCTGGGATAACTGCTGGAGTCTATCCAGCTAAAACCGCATAGCTTGCCATTAATATCGCTGTCTGGCAAGCTTTCCTGCTGCTTGTCCAGCCAATCTACCTGTTAATCATCATAAGTAGGGGTGTGGTGGCTCAGTGGCACACATTAGTCGGGTCAAACACGACTGCAGCAGTGTGTGGAACTCTACGCATTAAAAAGCTGTTCCCATCTGCAACACTTGGCTTCATAACAGGCGCTTTAGACGGACACCTTTCCTGAGTCAGATCAAACCCAGCGAGTCCGTTCCGAAACGTGGCGGAGGGTGATTTATGAGAGCTGGCAGTAGGGAGACAGTAATTATATTAATTAGGAACACTTTCCACATATGACAAAAAAGCAATGTCAACTTTTGAAAATGTATTACCCCAATGCGATCTTCAAAGACAAATCCGTAGAGACTTGTTAAGAAATAGCATAGCGCTCGCAAATGCCCCACAACCTATGTTTTGAAAGTAATTATACCCGTTGGTGGATTTCACAGAACGGTCCATTGATTAAGATAAAAAGAAAATTTGACAAAACAGATTACTTCTTCCAAAGTTAAAACGTTTCGTGTGAAGTAGGCGTTTTCTGGTTTGAAAACTCCCGATACGGTATTAGGTTTCCAGAGTCCTGTGAATTATGTGCCAAATGTTGAATCAATTAAAAAAAAAATCTTTCCACAGTATCTTTACTCTGGCAAGCTGCTTGCACACTGCGTGTCCAGCGAGGACCAACCTACCAGTTAGGGCTTTGGCTTCCAGGGTTAGCAGGAGCTGAGTGGGAAGAATCCCTGCTCCCCGCTGTTTGTATCTTTAAGGATTTAAGTCATTGTGGTTGTAATAATAATAATAATTATCCATGCATTTGATTATGCAGTGCTTCCTCGCATCGTCGAGATATCTCAAAGCGCTTGGCAGGATTTTACTGCTGAGACTGAAACAAGGGAAAATCCCTTAACGTCGCAACCATGGCTCAATAAAAAGAGTGTCTACCACAATTCCTGATGATTGATGATCGGGCCTTCTGTGGGTCGTTCAACTCCTTCCCTCCACCATCGGCAGCCATGCTTTCAGCCACTGCATCCCAAACCTCTGAAAATAACCTCCCTCAATCCCTCTCTTTGCCTCTCTTCAGATTACACCTGAAGACATTCCTTTGTGACCGTGCCAACGATCACCTTCCAGCCCCTGCTCTCTCCCTGGCTTGGCGTCAGATTACGGGCTCGGAGATGCCACCCCGTGTGAATGGCTGCTATATGAATGTAAATTGATGCCACTATCAAATCCTCTGGGAGGCTGCCCTGTGTGAGGGCCTGCTATATAAATGCAACTTGTTTTTGCTCGTGTTGGCTGACTGGGTACAAGCTGCAAAAAAGTGACACTGACATGATTCCAACTTCAAAATCAAAGGCAAGACAGGAACTAAACAAATCAAATTTAATTATTGATGAAAAATTTGCGTCCGAGGCAAATCAATGAGTCGACTTATCATTAAGTCAGGACAAGGGAGGGTTTAAGGCAATGGAACTGTTAACCCTTTCCCATCCAACGCAAGAAAAAAAAAGCCTCTGGATTGTCACTGAGAACACCATTTCCACCTGAAACACACGCTGACCCCTCAAATTCCTTACCTTTTTGCTTTACATGAAGCGGATTCTCTCCCTGTCCCCGGGGCAACCGCACACTTGAGTGTGTAAGCTGTGGGCTCATTCTCGCTCTCTCAGGGAGAAACCTTTGCAGATGTTTTTATTGTCAAATGTGTGGATATCATTAAAGCTCTACTTCCTGGAAAGACAACTGTTCCCACAGATGTCTCTCTGGATGAATGAAGTGGGTATCATGTCACGTAGAGGCTTGAAGAGGAATAGGGTAAGGCAGGGCAGTGGGATTCAATAGACACCTTGCTCTGAAAGCCAGTGCAGGTTCAATGGGCCGAACAGCCTCATTCTGTCCCGACTTTCAGAGAAGTACAAAACAAATTGAGCAAAAGAAGCTTCAGCTGAAATGCGTATGTTACCAGTCATTTCATCTGTTTGAGCCACATAACTCTCACTCTTTCTTCCCACTGTTGATATTAACGATTCAGGTGATTTGATTCCTGCACAAGATAATTATAATGTGGGCACAGCTGTGTTCCCCATTTCCTGCTGCTTGAATGGTGACTTGAATCCCCTAAAAATCTTTTTTTCTTATGTGAGTTATTTTTTTACGGATCCGGTATTAGTTTCTAAAGCCATATTCTGGACACGCACTGACAAACATGTTATGAAAGAAAGTTCAAAAGTGAAAGCACCTCTTAAATCAACCCTCCCATGCATTTGACCTCTCTCTCTCTCTCCCTCTACCCCTAATATAATAATAATCATTGCATTTGATACAGCGCCTTATCACGTATTCAAGATGTCTCAAAGCGCTTCACAGAGTATACTGTAAATAATAATAATCCTTGCATTTGATATAGCACTTTTCATGTCTTCTAGACGTCTCAAAGCGCGTCACAGAACATTTGCTGTAAAGTGAATTGACTGTACATTTGTGGGCGAAACGCGGCAGCCAATTGCACACAGCAGTGTCTCACAACAGTTGTGGATCGAAGCGACCAAATTATTATTGTTTGTTTTTTCTTAAGGGATTATTATCAGACGTGTGGAGCAAAGAAACTTGCCCTAAGGTTTTGTCCTGACAGGAATCGAACCCAGCTCTCTTTCTTGCGAGGCGAGTGCTCTAACCACTGAGCTACAGAATTCCATGTAAAGTGAACTGACTGTGTATTTTGTGTGCGAAACTAAAAAAAAGAATCAAACGGTACATTAAAAGGTTCTGGAGGTGGAATCTAGAAACTTCCAATACATAATAAGAAAAGATCCAGAGTAAATTATTTACTATAGAATTTTTTTTGCATTGGGAATATCACAGATTATTTGGAAACAAATTACCTACAACCAGCAATACATTTCACAAGGGCGTAAATCAGCTTGTCAGGAGCATGCGCTCTGTGATGGAGCTGGCCAGAAAATATCTGTCTTAATCTTTGACCTCTCCTCACTGCCTCCAGGGCAGGCACTTGCTGGCTTTCTGTCATCCTAATTTTCCATTGATAGCCGTAGGGAGCACTGGGTCAGAAGCGGTGGATGTTTCCACGTTTCAATGCAGAGCCACTTTGGGAGATCAAAGTCACCGTCTGCTGACATGACAAGGGGAGCGCTTGTCTTCTCCTGCAAAAATGTCAACTTGCTGTCAACAAATTGACTGCGGCCTCCAAACTGGATCTGGCTGAATTGATGGATTGCAGTA